TGAGCGAGTACTGTGCATTGTTTCAATTTGAAATCATGAAAGTCAAAAAGAGACCTCACACATTGGCCTTATCAAAGGGGTGGACATCCTTTTAGTATTCTGGTGTAGGCATGTTTCTGCTCATTACTCACAAAGATATGCATATGACAAGTGAGTGACATTGTCTATTGAGCTAATTTGCATGTGAATGTTCATTTCAAGTTGCTGCTCTTTTCTGAAAAGTAGATTTTGAAACCCTGTTACATCATCTGAGGATTGGGCAATTGTGTGGCACATTAATTCTCACCCACTTAAAATCTGCTTAAACAAAGGCTATGAAAAAAACACCCCATGGAAATATAATGTAACATTTGTAATGATAACTATCCACATATTCTTACATTTTACTCATTTAGTATTACATTGACACTTTCACGAGACCAAATAGTATTGGCAACTCATGCCAAAATGAGGACCTTCCTATAAAGTAGTCTTGAGACTCAGTGAGACTAGTAAACTATTAGAAAAAAAAAACTATTATCATTAGAGTATGCAGTGTGATCCATTTAGAGATATTCCATTAAAATAATAACGACACACTGTACAGGGAACAACATCCAGTATATCAAATCCTCTTCACGCCTCCCACCAATCGAAATGCATGTATTAAATATTGGAACACTCTCCTCTGTAGGATATGGAAAAATAGAGTTCATAATGTTCAACCAGTTGTTGAGAAGCAAGGTGTTTCAAAAACGTGTATGCGGGATGTAAACTCCTGCGAAACGTCGTATATAAAATTGTCCAAAATGTTGCTTTCTTTTTAACATTCCGCTTTGCTACAAACCCATTGTCACATTTGCCCACGTGACGACTTGATTTGATTGACTTTGTCAGGTGGTGGAGGGTTATATTTGAAAATTAACAACACCTACACGATATATACCATAATCAACTAAATATGAATCATTTAGTAACAGGATCTTTTGAAATCAGTGAGGTGTCAATAAATTGATCACCATTATCACACTATTAGTATGCCGATTAAATTGTTTTTTTTTATTCCGATGGTAACTACCGTAGCCATGAACAACACATGTTGCTTGGTTGGCCTTGGCACCTACAGTACTGTATATGGGTTGACAATTTCCCACAGCTTTTATATTTATTTTCATTGCATACCATTATTTTAAAATGTATATATTGGTGCCATGCATGGTCGGCTCTTAAAGCTGACAGCCATGAATAAGTGGGTGTGTTGGGGTCCCAGTAGGATTGTCAAGAGCGAGAGGAGAACCTTCGAAGGGTTCACAACATGAAAGGTCAACAGTAGCTTAAAGAATTGCGTCACAGCTATGCGTGTAAAGGACAACCTGGTCCCATGCGTTCTGCAAGTGTGAGCTGAAGCACGGCTCTTGTCTCCCCAACACGGGCACAATTGACCAAGCGTCATGAGAGCATTGTGCAACTCAACAGTTGGCAGGAACAGAGAAATCCAATTATTGTTTACCCGGAATACAAGGCACACAAACTCACAAGGAGGGCTTCTATAAGACCTATTTGGGATGGTTTTAATAATTCTATTTGTTTGGTGCAGTAGAAAACTGACGTGCTTGGAGAAAGAAAAAAAACTCACGCATATGAGAAGACCACTAAAAAACTCCCACACAAATATATAAGAATCCACATGCAGGACTGCCTACTGAAACTGATGTTAAATGTGAATTGATGATTGACAGTGTACAGTATTTGGTGTTGGCTAAACCTTCCAATTCAGGACCCTCCTGGAAACAAGTCTTTAGACTCGGCGTGGCTTTCCTGGGTACATAAGTGGATTATTGCAAAATAAATGTGATCACTATATTTTTTTAAGATCTCATATAAAATCGGCACTTTTTTACATTAAAATGACATTATATTACCAGTAAATGTACCGTAATTATCTTTCAGACAGAAAAAAAAACATATCCATGGCTCCTAGAAATAGTGTTATTTGCACAAAACACAAAGACACTGACCACTGGGCTTATACTCTTTGGTTCTCATTCGGTAAAGTCACGTAGGCAAAAAAATAAAATAACAAAAATCACGACGTTTCGGCCACAACATGACTTTACCGAATAGAACCAAAGTGTATGGATCCTTGCAGTCACGAAAGCTTCAAATCTAACACTGGGCTTATTTTGCCAGTCTGTGATCAGTACTTGAGCGTGCCTGGAGTGGCTGTAACCATGCACACGTTCCTCGCTCGACTAAGCGCTCCTGTTATGTTTTACTTTCCTGCCTTTGCACCAACAGCACTCTACTCAAGAGGAACAGGGCTTCAGTACAGTTGAAGTCCCCATTATTGCATTGCAACTGGCCACAGTGCAGCGTCTGTGTACCTATAGGTACACATAAAAATTAGCGCAATCATACACGCAGGACACAACTTGGGTAAAACATATCCCAGTCATGGTACCAGTCCCAAAGCTTGTGCTTAAACATTCATTTGGTAGCCACATCTGCATTGACATTCATGAGCCAGAGGTGGAAACTCCACATTCATATGGCAGAGCACAGTATTCCCATAGGTCAACCGCTACTAATTCTCCATGAACTGGTGCTCATCAGCTGGTGGCTGTTACCAACCCCCCTGAGGAGGGATAACGGGGATGATAGGCTGGGATAACAATGGCCATGATTTGAACTCGCAATCGAATCACTGAAAGTTCAGCAGCTTTACCAAATGCACTAAGACACAGCCACGAGCATATAAATAATATACGTCACGCGATGTTACATAATACCATTTACCTCATGGAATGTATCCAGTGCAGGGTATTATTGACAAATCAGTACATGTAGCGTAAGAGCGAAGGTGTGTTGGCTGACTCACAATTTTCCATGACTGCTAAATATATCTAAAAAACGGAATCGCGTATCAGTTTAACGCGTAACACAAAAAAACCCTCTATTATGATTCTCGTATCACCTCCATGTAAATGTTAACATTTGATATGCTATTTTGGAAAGATTATTCATCGGTCAAAAGCCATTGCACAGTTATTAAAAAAAATGATGTTTCAAATTGCATTCTTACTTTTTCCCCCAACTCAATAACGTGTGCATACTGTTGTTACAGGATGTGTTATTATAATGTCTCTTTGGCCAAGAGACGCCTTAGTTCTCACGAGCTAACTCCACGAGCCCCCATAGGATTGCCAATAAAATCAAGGTTGCAAATACCCCTGAAGGTGTCTGCAAGCGGACGCGTGTCACTGGCCCATTGCAAAAGAGCAATTCGGACGTCATTTTGCCGCGGTGTACCAGCACACACTGAAAACGCGCACCTCGACAAAAAAAGTTTTGTGTGCAACCCTATAAACATAACGAGGCAACGTCTTGCGCAATTGCCATGTTTAAAGAGCAGCGATAAATCTATTTAATTTAAAGCTGCACGCTGGGCAGCGCCCGAGCAAGGTGAACCGGGTCTTGTAGCCGGTTTTGCAGTCCATATAAAATAAAAACGCCGTGACTTTTCGCGGGCAGTCGACGCGGACTGCATGGCGAGTCAACGTTTCGGACAATGGCCCCTTCGTTGCCGCGTGCTGTTTATCACAGCGCCGTTTTTTTCCGTTATTCTCACACGTGAACGTCGCGCACGTATCACGAGCCCACAGTGAACAAGTACTATCGTCATCTATGCGCGGGAATCGTTCGCTACAACACAATTTCTCCATTCGAAGCAGATCCCCGTTGATAGCGATATTGTAACGCGCGTGCCTGTGACGCATTTCCATCGCAATGATCCCACGTGCAGATTCTTTCTTTTCTCCATCTTCACCCATCTATCCATCTTCACCCATCTGTCCATCTTCACCGATCTATCCACCACCGGGGACTTAAGCCGACGCTCAGTGTATGGCTGTGGAAGCTTTATTTGTCAGTGCTGTGGACTCGTGGCGTTATCAAACGCACAGTGCTAAGCGTGCTGGAGCACGCCTTTGAGCCCGTAATGTGCATAAGTATGTGCTGGAGTGAAGGCACTATTTGACTATTAGCGTGGCATTCGTGCTCGTAAATTCATAATTGAGGTTTCAATGAGGACGACTGATTCGCATGAGGGTTACACACAGAGTTGGCGATCGGAATAGTATTAGGGGTGCGAGATGGGGTTAAGAATGCGGCTGGTGTTACAGGGATGGGAGTGTCGTATACGTAACTCTGTTAGCAGTACGTTTAGTGCTTACGAGTCAAGGGTAGAGTTAGTGTTCAAAGTAGGTGTCGTGTTAAACGTGGGGAGTGAGTTCATCGTACATGGTAGGGTAAGTGCCGGGGGAAATTGTTAGCCTAGGTTTAGGCATATGGTGGTCAGCTCTCAGGGTGCGAGTTGGGCTAGCGTTAAACATTGTGTCGTTAGATAGTCCTATGACAAGTTACTAAAACCCGAGTTTACACTCACTGCTGTATAGCCTTTACCGTAGCTAGAATCACACAGGTCACGTTTAACACATCGGTCATCCTATTCGCAAGTTATCACTCCGAACCGTACGAATGGCACGACCGCCTTCCGTGTCTGACAAACACAAATAAATAAACCATAAACCCATCTTGACTGCACGCTTTCGTGACTGCAGTAAAAAAAACCATTCAACGCATAACCACAAACTCTTTCGTTCTATTCGGTAAAGTCGCGTAGGTAAAAAAAATATATTTTATTTTAATTTTTTGGTGTTTTATTTTTTTTACCTACGTGACTTTACCGAATGGAACCAAAGAGTATGGATCCTTGCAGTCACGAAAGCTTCAAATCTAGAAATGCGTAACAACAAAACCAAGCCGTGAGCGTCGTTGCGAAGAGCAACACAAAAAAAAACACCGGTGGGACACGCGGACAATTCCATTACAAGCGTTCGTGAAACTTTCAAAGAATGCCCATGAGCGAACGCGGTTTTGAAACTTGCCTCTACGGCGAACTTTTTGCGCATCGAGTAAAGTGAAAGGCGCGCCACAGCGAACAAGAGCGCTGCGCTTCTTACCGGTCCACGTTCGCAGCCCTCTCTCTGCCTCCCTCCCTCTCCCTCTCTTGTCTCTCCCTCTCTTGTCTCTCCCTCCTCTTGTCTCCTCTCTCCTTCTTGGCTTGCGAGCGAGAGAGAGATAGAGCGAGCGAATGGCTCCACCGCCCTTATAAAAGAAACGCAGTTCCACCGCCCCCGGGCTTAGCGACCTCTGTAATTGAATTAAACGATGAAATATTAACCCAGTTTTTTAAAAAAAAAAGTTTAAGCGGCGTTCGACCACCCCTCCCCCCTCCCCTCCCCACAGCCACTGTGTGCTCAAAGTTGCGTGGCTTGTATTAGCCTGGGGCAGGACCTATATAGAGGATGTGTACTCGTGCGTGTAAGGAGGAGCTTACAGGGCCAGGAGGAGGCAGACGTTTTGAATACATGACACGACAGGTTATTGATTATCTGTACCCCCTCGCAAGGGCGTCTCGACCTTAAGCGTACTCGCGATGCGTATTCCCTCGACGTGTGAGCCCGAGTCAATATGCGAAGCATTGTGAACGGTTGTTTTCGCTCGTGATGTATGACAAGCAGGGCTGCTCGCTGTTTGTGGATCATTACTACTTTGTCAAATACGTGGATAACGGGACACAATGAGCTAAGATACTCATTAAACGGTAGACACACTCCTTAAAGATCCTTCAATGTATTTGCTTCGTTGATTATTCCCTTACAAAGCTATCAGCATGTCTGTCTGCAAGTGGCTTCATGTTTGTGCCCAAATTATACATTACCTTATCTAATGCGCATTGTTCACTGACATTCGGGTGTCTTGGGGATGATGGGTGTTAAGGCTTGAAGCAGAAGTGAAAATGTTGCATAGTAACTTCGTAGCAAGTGTATTATATTATATGACATGTATATAAGTGCGTTACTTTGACGTGTAATGCATTTTAGAACTGACAATCGCGCACAACCTATCCCCAAACTCCTTAACCCCCCCACCCCCCATGGAATGTCCTGAAGTATTACAACGCATTATTACGCGTGCCGTGTTCTCACAAATTATGTCCAAATATCGGACATCTCGCCTGCAGGGTAATTGCGATGTTTTTCTGGCATACAACCACGTTTGCGTCCAAGGATGTATGTCAACGATCTTCCCGTGTGGCCTCCACAGACTGCTGGAGCAAGTCATGTTCTGCTTCGTATGGGTGATGTAAGTGGGGAGCAACGGCTGTAATTGTACATTGAGGTGATTGAGCCTGATAACAAAAATATTTATTTTACCAGGTAAGGCCCACTGAGCTATGTAGCCCACTTCAGCAATTGTTTCCTGCTGTGGTTGTCCCACCTGATGACGGACGCTTGTGTTGCGCCCGAAACGTCATGATTAAATGTATTTTATTTTTTATACCCACGTGACTTTACCGAAAGAACCAAAGAGTATATAGCTATTTTTTCAGAAGCGACCTGGCCACCGATGATAGCTCAACCAAGTGGTTTATCGCGTGGACAATTATAGCAGCCGAATGCTCTTAAAGGCATGTTTCTAAGTGTGGAGGAAAAAAAGTCGAGGACCCGAAGAAAAATCCACACGGCCACGGGGAGAAAATGCAAACTCCAAACACACAGACGTCAGGTGTCGGGATCGAACCCACGGACTCTTGCATACCAGGCGAGGTAGTTACCATCTTGCCACTGTGGCGCCTCATAATTGCGTCAGGAGTCATTGCAAAGTGATGCATCGCCCTAATTATGCCTCCTTCGCTGTATTATGAATCGGGCTTTGAATCGGTATATGTTCATACCTGCCAACCCATGCGGTTTACCCGTATTCTGGTACAGGGAAATCGAGTTTTCAGGCCCATACGGCGTACAGCCTTTTCAATACGGGCTTTGTAGTATGAACAATGAGATTTATAATGGCACGGGTGACCAATACAGTTTGCATTGATCTGCAACAAGGTAGGCACTTTTGATTTAAAGCTTTCGTGACTGCAGGGATTCATATTCTTGGTTCTTTCGGTAAAGTCACGTAGAAGGGAAACAATAAAATAATAAAAATATATAAAACAATAAAATTCTCACGACGTTTCGACTGCAACACAAGCAATCATCATCAGGTGTGAAAACCACAAATAATTTTTTTGTTAAAAATAACCGCCACTTTTTTCAAATTTTCTTGTTGTGGTTTTCACACCTGATGACGATTGCCTGTGTTGCAGTCGAAACGCCGTGAGAATTTTATAGTTTTATATATTTTTATAATTGTATTGTTTCCCTTCTACGTGGTGACTTTACCGAAAGAACCAAGAATATAAGGTAGGCACTGATAAGGAGTTGACAGCTTTGTATGGTCCGTGGACTCTTCTGGATGACCTCAGTTGTCACACGCTGGAGAGTTTAAAATGTGTTCCATTTGTTCTGCTGGTGAATGAATAAACGAGGGTGTGGTGTGGCCAACACCATGACCCCGCTGCCTTTGTATCACCAATGTTGGTTGTTTACATTGCGGCAGGTAGTTATTTACGTATGTATGTTAAACTTCTTTCGCACCGTACGTGCGAGACGACCTCATTGAAGCACATCGACCGATATTTTAACTCCGCACTCGTAGCGAAATGCACTGACCGCTACGCTATTTTTCCTAACTTTGTTGACTGACACACATACTCACAGAAACGGAGAGGGTACATAGAGTACAAAATATACCCGCAGTCTACTCTGTTTCCCAGAATATAGTCAATTTATCACACGAGTAAACGGCATAAGAGCTTTAAAAGTTCTACACAGAATTGACGTAAAACATATCTTTGATTCAGCAAATCGTTGGTGACTATGTGTTGATAGTGATGCACAAGCACAAATAACAAAATTCAACATGTTCATCAAATATACTTTGGCCTTAAGAGGAAAAATAAGCTATATAAGATGATGTCTTGGGCAAAGGCCCTTCTTCATAGATGCCTTCACCGATGTGTGTGGTGAGTGGTTGAATTCATTTTTACTCGGTTAAGGCATCTTTCAGACATGTTGAGGTATTTATGAGTACTGTAATGGTATGCAACTAGTATTTGGCACATGAGTTAATTGATGGTAACAGCTTAGAATAAGATTTTGCACAATGGTATCGTGAATTTTAAGTTTAAAAAGGCATGCGCTCTCGTTTAGACAAACCTCGTTAATAGAAAATCTCACGTTTAAAGTTCTCATTGAACTTCCTTATGTCTCTTGTGGAAAGGTTTTACAAAGTTTATAAAAATGACTCTACTCAAAACAGAAAACATGCTCAAGCGATAGTTGAGTGCTGCTCATCCCAATTAGTGTCCATAAACAAGTGGAGGCAATTGCACACTCCTATGGCAGGACCAGTTTTTCGAAATCAAAACTATTGTTGTCTTCGAACACAACACTGCTTGTTTTATTGACTATAAAAAGAAGGCTGAGTGAACTGTGACTATGATGGATTTTACAATCTTTAGACTGAGAGCTAAGTGCTTGTCAGCACAACCCTGCCAGGTCTTTAAAACACATACACAGTATACACATTCATTATTTGCCTGTAAAACAAGCACTTGTGGAATCTCAGCATTGCTGTTCCATCTTTAAAAATAGTTTTTATACTTCTATAAACATATTTTTTTTCAGGCATAACTGCATATAATATTCATTTGTCTTTTCCAAATAAAGCTTGTTCATGTGGTTGATTAGCTTCTAAATTTTCCATTATTCAGTTCTCTTTTTTATGAACAGTTTACATGCGTGCGTTAAGAGGCTACTGGGTCTCTATAGTTCCATAGTTCCATAGTTCATTTACTTGGTATAGCCCTGTGAGCCATTCGGCTCTTGAATCGGGTGCAACCGCAACAAACATAAACATGTGAACAGGTGTGCTAATTCTGATCCACCACCTGATGTGGCTTTTAGCGATGTCTACAGGCCCCACGGTGGTGAGATGTTAACTACCTCGCCTTGTATGCAGGAGGTCGTGGGTTCGATCCTGACCTTTGACGTCCTGTATATTTGGAGTTTGCATATTCTCCCCATGGTCACGTTGATTTTCTCCAGATCCTCCGGTTTTTCCCTCCACACTTATAAACATGCGTTTTGAGTATTTGTCTGCTATGAATGTCCACGTGATAAGCCACTTTGTTTAGCTATCTTTGTGTCCAGGTCGATTCTGAAAGAAAGCTACATAGCTCAGTGGGCCTTACCTGCTATGATAAAAATAGTAAAAATAGGATGTGGTTCATAATAAAGGTTTTTAGGGTTAGATCGCGTTATTTATAAATGTGTTGTAACCCTCCACCACCCGACACGGCCAATCAGCAAAATAAAGTGTCACGTTGACAAAAGACAATTAGTTCACTACTTTAACCCACCGGTGTGTTGAAGAGTGAATCCACAACATTTACAGTTTGAATAAATAGGATGTGGTGTCGGCCGCCGACCTTCTCTTGTGGCGTGCTGGCTTAGGTTAGTTTGTTCCATGTGGACTGGGAGCCTTCCCTTCATCGCACTCTGAAGGGCAGTGGTTACTCCCCCTTCAAGTGTGACATCTGGAACATCCTCGTCTTTATCCGATTGGTTTCCTGGAGTGTATTTTTGTGTGAATAAATCTTCATTTAGATCTGTCTCTCTTAAATTATGGTTCCACTTTGCTCGCAAATGGATAGTATTAGCCATTGTAATAGTCAAAGTAACAACGTACAAATTAGCAGTGGAGTCAGCATCAAAATAAGGTATTTTTGCAACCATTGGATTGGAAAAAAACAAGGCACAAAAATTTATTGAGATTATATGCGTCATCCCATATTTTCTGACAATACAGTGGAAGAAACGATGCCAGAAACAACAAATGATTGAAGAAGTAACAGGTAAGGCTACCAAATTAGGCTAAAAATAGAGTACGAGAAAATAGAAAAATAAGTACCGTAAAATAGAGCAAAATACCATATCTGCATGCATTTCTGAATATATGACATAAAATAAACAAATAAATGCAAAAACTGAATGTAATTCATTATTGGATTTTTTGAGTAATTACAGCATATTCAATATCTAAAGGCCAAGTGACAGATCCATGAGATGATTTTCCTTGCAATGAGGTTATGTTTAACACGTAGGCTTTCGCGACTAATATCATCCATAATGGAGGTTTTTTTTTGGGTTAGATCGCGTAAATATATAAATGTGTCATTAAATCCGCCACCACTCGACACAGCCAACTAGTAAGGGCTGTCACGTAAACAGAACGTGGCCAATTCGTCACTAGTACAGCACACCGGTGTGCTGGAGAGCCAAGCCACGAAATGTACAATCGGAGTACGACGTTTCGCCAGTAATTACAACTAGCTTCATCAGGCGGCAGCCAGATTTGTGGAGAAGTCCACCTGTTTCGTTTCTTATATAAAGTTGTAGATGTGGTGACCACACTTCAATGAGGGTATATTTCGCAGTATGGTAGATAAGTGGGGTTAATTATTCATAATTGTAAAAATTTGGATACAACATCGGAAGACATGCCCTGCACTTGCAGATCTTCTTCAAGAGTGTTTAATGGAAATGTAAGAGCAGTCACCGTAACTTGCTCGTTTTTGGGTGACCACAGCAAATTATTTTGTTAAAAACAATGAAAGTTTCATACTCACTGGATTGTGCAGATTTGAGGTTTTCCTGGGTAGGCCAGTGTAATTAATAAATAAGACATACCAATTAATGGCCATGGTGGGAGTGGTGGTGCGATGGTTAGTGTACTGCACTCTGAATTCATTGACCTGAGTGCAAATCCAAGCAATGGCTCACTTCAGTGGCGAGAGATATCTAAATTGGGTCCTGGGTGCCCCTTCACCAACCTGCACTGACTAGCGTGGTGAAGTACGGTTAAACAAACCACAGATTATAATTGTAGAAACATATCGGGTGTTCAAACTCATATGTATAAAAGGCAAAGTTGTGAATATTTGTGTCTGTTCAAATGTTTAGCGTACTTCCCGACATGCAACAAACTGGAAATTTGCCATGTGGGTAATTTCCAGACTGTACATCATGCAAAAATTATAAAAATACACTTTTTTGGGGGTGCGGGGGAGCTCAATGCATATACATGTATTTTTTGCACGGCAAGTGAGCTGTGACGTCAAATCTGTCACGTGACCCGCGCATGTGGAAGCGTAACGCATTGTAGTGTAGTGGTTAGCGCGCCTTGCTACGAACCCGGCGAGCCGAGTTCGATTCCCGCTCACGGCCACCACCGGTCACGATTATTTTAACCGGTCCTGGGCCTCCCCTAGGTCGACTCAGCCTCAAACGAGCAACTGCTGTGGTGTGTCAACATCGCCACTGGGGAGACAAAGGCGGCCGGGCGTGCTGCTGTCACCCACCCCCTCGTATATCTATATACAGAAATGTCCATCACACCAGAAGTGGTTGCCTCTGTAGATGTTAAGTCTACAGTAATTTAGTGATAAACTCTCTACAGAGCACACTATTTATGTTTGCAATAAATACGAACGGATAATGGAAAGTAGTGAATGGTAACATTTTATAAGCAGAATAAATATGACCTATGAGCCTTTTAAGATGGTGGACTAAAATGTCACAACCAAATGTGTATCTCTGTGTGCTTCGAAATGGTTTAAGTTCATCTATATATATAGTCTAGACGTATCATATTCGTATTCACTATTGTGCTGCATTATTGACAGTTTTTGTGCAATATAAAAAGCAGGGACAATGCAGACCAATAGATGCTGATTCATGACTAATTCCTGAAGCTCAGATGGCCATTGCAGACTTTCCTATGCTCTTTTCCTACTTTGTTTATTTTCCCCACTCGTGAAAAAAAAATCAACTCCTTTTAACATTCTTGAATTCAATTACCCTGCCAGGCCCTGTATGTGGTAAATGTTCTCCAAATCAAAAGATGCGGGGCTATTAGTAGTTTAAAATGTAGGTTTCCGAAGCTAATACAATGATCCATATTTGTTGTTTGGGTTACCAGCATAAAACTACGACGTAGCCTAACCCAAAAATAAATATGGACCACGATTATTACTGTAGCTTATTTTTTTTTTACAAAGGAAAGCCTCATTGTCAGCAGGTTCCTGCTTGTGGTCTTTGGCCATTTGTGGATACATTTAATATTTCATGTGGTTCATACACACAGTTTATAGGTTCAACGCTGACTGGGAGCCAACTCTGCTTCGGATCATAGCACTGTCTGACTGCCTAGGCATGTCCATAGGCAGAGGCTCCATTCTCATCGAGGTGTTTTCGTGAGTTCTGTTGCTGTAGTTTTGAACTCTGGTGATGTCTCGAGCAGAGCCATTTAGGAACACTCCATCATGCAGGATCAATGTAATACCATTTTCTGATTGAGGGTTATTGGTGGGGGACTTGCATGAGGGCAGAGGAAATACATATTCTTTTGAATATTTCTCATTAATCTCTGTTTTTCTGAGCCTCCATCTTAACATCTTCAGCCCAATAAGGTTGATCTCGATCAAGCACAGAAGAGCTGATATCACGTTGACGACAAAGTAGTAGAGGAGGAAGACGTTCTTTTCTGTGGGACGCGACACGAAGCAGTCCACCCTGTTGGGGCACGGGAAGCGCTCGCACGGAAAGTGGGCCTCGATGGTGAACCCGTAGACAAAGTACTGGCTCACGAGGCAGCCGATCTCCAGCACCAGCTTGAACGCCACGTGGACTACATACAAGGCGTGTCTTCTGGTTATTCTCTGAGCTTTAGTCTTCTCCCACCTCACTTTTTCTTCAGTATTTATCAATGTTTTTTTTCCAATGATTTTCTCTGTCCTTTCCTCCTTGGTCTGGCTGTGTATGGCATATGCGATGAAGGAGAGTGGAGGCACTGACAGCACCATAATCTGGAATATCCAGAAGCGATAGTGCGACATTGGGAAGGCCTTGTCATAGCAAACCTGGGAATGAAAATAACAAAACGTAAGCTATAACTTAATTGACAAATTAACAAATTGAACAGAATCCTGTGACATATGTATACGTACTGTATAACCCTGTGTCTGCATGGTAAGACTTGACCACATTTAGACGCCTGGAGAGTGATTTATGTTTAAAACATAAACTGATGACTTGGAGATGTGTCATCCTGAATAAATGTTGAGTAAATTGAGAGTGGAGAAAATTTACAGAGATAGGAAGTATAAGAGGCAAGTGTGTACTTGCAAGCCGAGCTAAAAAGATATACCAGGCAAATACAGGGTTATTGTTATCAATGATGAATTATGATGTTTTATTCCGCATATATATAAAGATCACGTGTACCACCAGGCAACAAAACTAAGCATTGGGTGATATTTATGTTGTCTGTTTTTAGCCATTATGTGCATATTTCATATTTCTTGACTTCCAATAAAGTAGCACAGATTATTTAATGATATAAGGGCAATTTACTGAATGAATTCCCAACTAGGATTTGAACTTTCAACCTTCCAGTTGTGAGCTATGTGCTCTACATTAGTACCTTTGGCCAGATACCTGAGTGGATATAGATTCTATGTATATTATGCCCACAAAAGGCCTGATTCACATGTATTGTATTTTGTTTTGCCTGCTGTTTTGCCAGAGTGCACCAATGTCTCCATTACCCATAATGGAGAAATTTCCCAAAGATTATAAATATGACTATTTATTCAAATCTGAGAGAGTCCATTTTCATTCATCGTTATTGAAACAGACACACCAAATTGGAGTAGCGTTTTTTCTGCTAATCTTGTGATACTGAAAGCTATAGCGATTGTATAATCAACAACGTGGGTAGAAACCAACCATTGGTAATTGTTTATTACCACAGATATTTTTTTCCGATGAAACACAAAAAAGGAATATTTCAGCAAAACCAAATCAATCACACCCCTTGCACGATCACAGCTCGGAACTGACCTGATTGCAGCCTGGTTGCAAAGTATTACATATGAAAGCCTCTTGCTCGTCTTCGTAGAGATTGTCGCCGATAGTTGAGAGCACCATGACGCGGAATATGATGAAGATGAGCAGCCAGAATCTTCCTGTCATGGTGGAGTGAATGTTCACCACCTGGAGGATATCGCCTAAGAAGCTCCATTCCCCCATGATGCCGTGCAACGTTTGGGTGTCACAGACTCCCGCTACACAACAATAGCAACAACACAGTACCATTACGGCATGACATTCCTCTGACAACTGACTCTTGTCTCTTCATACACTCTAGTTTGCTGAACTATCTCTGATAAAGACAAAAAAATGGTCGCATTAATGTTATAATGTCTGTTACATAACGAATACAGTGTTGCACTATTTACTTTATCTATACTGTATTCGGCTATGTTATGTTGTATGTAATGTTGTTAATTGTTAAACATTGAGATTGATATGATGTGGTATAGGTGATGAGTGGAATTGAAGGATCACATTTTTGGGGAAATAGAGTGAAAGATGCTTTCTTTATTAAGGAATATACTTCGTGCAAAGTGTTGTGTGGCCTCAGATAGTTTCTATCGAATTATCTAATGCCCCACAGCTATTCATGTTATGAGACTCAAATTCGTCCGTTTAAGCACTGTAAGTTAGCGTTAAGTTTACATTTCCATACATTAACACTTGTGGAGTTACGCAGTATTGTTCTTGGCCATCTTCAATACTGAAGATAGTAAGGCATATTTACTGTCTGCCCGTGTGTCTGTGTGAAAGCCTCGATTAATGCAGATATGGAACATTAACTCATTTGGTCTCATTGAAACCATGGTGGCCATTAAAAGGTTATAATTATAATACATCACAGCCCTGAGCCAATCACCTGCCAGATGAAGGCCTCCCCACGCCACGTCAGTCATGGGAATTGCTTGACCATACTTCATCACAGGGGTCAAAGGTAAAGGGGCCGGGGGGGGGGGGTCGTTCAGATACGACTCGCCACTGATGTTAGCCGTTGCTATGAATTCAACTTGGGTCACCGACTTCATATAAAAGTGCACTTACCACTTTTCCATAGCATAACCCAATGACATTGCTTGTTTCACATGAGGGATTGTTAGATATTTCCAGTAATATTTAAACGTGTGCAATGTGTACACGTTTTGCCATCCTCCTCTCCCACTGGTGTAGTGCCAATGATGGTTAATACGGTGGTAATGTTGAACAATCCATTGGGCTTCTGGAATAGCAATGTGTAAGATTGCATGAAGTTAATCAACTTGAAATGATGTAACAACTCCCTTTGTAACCCCGACATAACAATTTTAAGTTAATCATCAAACTTATATATCTTTTTTCATTAAGTCCTCCCTTTCAATTGCAACTTGCTTTGTACTGGGACATATATCTCACTCATATTTTTAATTAGATATAAGCCTCCCAAGATTCTGTCTAGTGTAATATTCGGGATCATTGGGCACTCGTAACAAGTCAAGCAAGTCCACCCATTGTATCTGGGAGAACACTCTGCTATGCTGGCTAGACTTGTCGCATCTTTTGTCCCGATGCAGTAAGAACCAGTTGTGACTAGCGTAGAGAAAAGAAACATTATCTCAGATTGTTACATGAGCAGGTCACATAGTAGGAGAAACATAGTACTATATCTTAATGCTTTTGAATATGTTGTGTATTGGCATAACTTAAAATTTGGAAGCACGTTGAATACTACACATGTAATGGCCATCGCTAACAAGTATTGCCACCGTGGTCTGGTCAAAAGGAATGAATCAGATTACGATTTTTTTTTCTCTAAATTCAGTTTGTTTTGAAAGTGTTTTGTGTACTGTATTATTATTGATGGAGTTAGATATATGTGATGGCTGGAATGTTTCACTAGACAATTGCGTATGCTGACATAGCATCAGTACAATATTCAACGTTAGCAGACACCATTGCAAGGCATGAAGACAATCGAACTTGTAAAGAATTAGTAAATTAAAAAGCATATAGTATTGTTCAGTAACAGGTGGATGAGCGTGTTAAAATGACTGCAATCATGTCTGCAAATCAACAGGATGAAATATTGAAATCACTCCATGAGTTACTTATATTCAAGGAGGTGCACGGTTATAAAGTTACTTAAATTGCATTTTGACTTAAAACTTTCGTGACTGCAGGAATTCATATTCTTGGTTCTTTCGGTAAAGTCACGTAGATAGAAAAAATATATATATTTTTATATATAAATTTAAATTTAAAATAACAGCAAAAAACCACGACGTTTCGATCGCAACACAAGCGGTCTTCATCAGGCGGAGAGAAAAGAGGGGGCATGGGCGGGGCAGCCAGCGCCAATGTAGGAGCAAAGCACCACAAGCAAAGCGAGCGCGTTAGACAATGGGGGACGGGAGGTGGCAGAGACAGGGGAGAGAGAGGGGGGGTAGAGATAGAGGTGGAGCTGAATGCGAGGGCACAGTCCAAGTGTGTTAGACAATGGGGGGAGGAAGAGGGTAGAGATAGGGGGGAGGGGGGAGTAGAGATGGGGGGGGGCATTGCACCTCGCTGCACACATCCACACTGCTGACGGTAGAGGTTGACAAGTAAAGACAAATCAAGTCATGACCCAAAGTGGTTGATGATGTGATGCCGCAGCAGCGAAGCCGTTCTGCCGACGCCGTGGCCACGACGCCGCCACCTCCGAGCGACGGGGCCGACGCTGCTTTTCCCTCACCACCCCCCATGTGAACACACACCCCCCCACAATGGGCCCCGAGGGGAGGTCACGTGACCGACAGGTTTTCACCCAGAAGCCCTCTCATGGGACCAATCTTCACGGTTTCCTGCGGCCGGGGAATTGGGCGATCTCCCCCGAGGCTAACTCGCACCTAGGCGCCGTGACTTGGGTTGTAATTACATGGTCACGACGGGGCTGCTCAGCCACCGCGGGTAGAAAACACCCACGACACACACAACACACACAACACCCACAACACACACAACACACACGACACACACAACACACACAACACACACAACACCCACAACACACACGACACACACGGGTCAGCAGGCAGGTAGGGGGGGGGGGGGCGGAGCCACGAACGGCGGGAAAACAGGGCCGGCCCTCTGGTAGGACAAATGTGCTTGTGCACCAACGCAGCATCCCCACGGCCGTCCCTTTTGATGTAGAAGGTAAAGTGCGGACGTCTGAGAGAGCACCGGTCCGGGGGGAGAGTGGCGGGAAATCCGAGCCACCTGATTGGCCGGGAAGGCCAGCGGATCAGCGCCAAATTATCTTTGATGTAGAGAACAATACAAGGTGAGAGAAGGTAGGGATGAGTCAGTCGTGTTCTTCTCAAGTCAGCGATCGGAGTAGTCACCTTGCTGGCCACTGGATCGTCCGTGAGACAAGTCTCAGCGCAGCCAGGCCCCGCTCCCAGCAATAACTTCCTGAAGCCTCGTCTCTCCTCGACGGCCCGCGCATCCGAGGCGAACTGTGAGTACGAAAGAGAGAGTTGGGATTTAAGCGTAGAAGCCTAGGGAGGTTGGTTCGAAATAGACGGGACAGATTGGGGCTTAGATCGTCGGGAGTAGGTTAGTTATCCTACTAATACTGACTCCGGGCTACGGAATATTTAGACTCGGACTCGCCGAGAATAAACTGTTGGTGATCAATAAACCTTGTCGTGTGGTTTCTGCGAGTGTGGAACGAGCGCATGGTGGTGTGAGTCCGCTCCTCGTGGTATGGGGATTTGTGCTGCGGGTAACTCTGTTGAGGCGGTCATTGTGTGTGCGCCCGACCGGGGTTCCTGCATCGTTGCCCCCTGTGTTTGCGCACGAGTGCGTATTTACTCGCGTGTTTGCGCTCGCCCATGCGTGTAGCTCGTGGTTAGCGTGTGTGTGTGTGTGTGGTGAGCGGCAGCGGACTCGTACAGGGGCATGTGAGATTACTCATACACCCTTTTGTTTAACGTGTGCGTGAGGTGAACGGGCGGCGTACACGTGAGATTGTTCATACAGTCCTTTAAATCATCTCCGAGACACCCCCCTCCAATCGGCTACGCGTGTACAAGTGACGTCACTGCCCTTTGACCCCTGCCCCCCGTCCCACGCGTGCGATTGGTGTGTCGCTCTAAAACCGACTCTGAATCCCCGCCCAGCAGCCCTTTAAACAATCTCCATTGCCCGCCCTCGGCGGAAACGCGTGGGCGAAGGACGTCATTACCTCTGACCCCTGACCCCCCCCAGTTCAGCGCGTGTGAGTGGTGTGTGGGGTGGTGTGAGTGGAGACATCGCGTCTGAGTGGCCGAGAAGCGACGGATTGACTCCAGGCAGCCGTGTGCCAGCTCTGAGCTATGCCCCACAAACAGGACCCGCGGACCCGAGGGGCTGTGGCGTCAGGAGAGGAGCCGGAGAGCGGCAGCCCTCTCCCCGCGAGCGAGGAGATGAGTAGCGGCGGCTCTCACACGAGCGAGGAGTCCGGAGTCCGCAGCCCTCCCGAGATCAGCCCTCCCCCGGGGGGGGGAGGGGGCCAGAGGCCTGCGTCCCCCACAATGACATCTTTCCAATAATTGCTGAGTTTAAAACCGTCGTCTCGGTTGAAATTGTATCAGTGTCTATATATTTGGATGGCTTCATGAACGAATCTTTGTTGATAGCCAGTGGTTTTGCAAAGTACCTTCGTCTTAGAGAAATCAATATCGTGTGAGCCCACCGCATTAAAACAATGATCAGACACAGCCGAGGTATTGGTCCTACCGTGTTTCAGATCTGCCTTATGTTCTTGAACACGGTCCGAGACATGTCGCTTAGTTTCCCGAATGTAACTATTGCCACAGACACAGCTTAGTTTGTAGATGCCAGGGTATTGCATGACAGGGGGATCACATCCTTCACAGATGGGATCAGATCCCGAATTTTATGTACTGTGTTAAATCGAACCTGGATCTTGTGTTTGCTCATGATTTTGGAAATATTTTAGTGACCCCTCCTATGTATGGCAAGGTGATGGTTTTGATTGGGTCCTCAGATAATTATTTCCTAACGGTTGGGGTGATAGCTTTACGGATTGTGTGGTCTGAAAATCCCTTCATCTTGAGAGGTTGGTGGCTAGGTGATGACGGTCGGAGATACATTGAGCTCTATGGTGTCGCGTTTTGATGAGGGGATTTTTCTGGGATAGATGGTGGTGGGAATCAGATTTTAGGTAGGCGTCAGTATGGGCTACTTTTCTGTAGACAGAATGGCTCATTGAACCATCTGGTCAGATTAAGACATCCAAGAAAGGTAGCATGCCATCCTTTTATACTTTCATGGTGAATTTGATTGCTGGGTGTATGGAACTGATGTGGTTGAGGAATTGTTTCAGAGGCAGTCGGCCATGTGACCAGATGACAAACGTGTCATCCACGTACCTCTTCCACAAGGACGGGCATAGAATGGATGTCTGGATGGCGTCCGTCTCAAATTTTCCATGAAAATGTTGGCCACAACCAGAGATAAGGGAGAACCCATTGGGGTGCCTTCAGTTTATTTGTATAATGTTCCACCCTAGGTGAAGTATGTATTGGTGAAGCAGTGTCTCACCATGGCTGGTACATCAGCATTCAAACCTTGTTGGACCAAATCTTCAATTATTGCAATGGTTTCGGGCACAGGAACTTTGGTGAACAAGCAAACTACATAGAAACTAACGAGCAAGTCACCTGGGGACAGTGAGATGTCTTTAATTTACTTAAATTGGTTACGTTTATGGCAACACAGATTACATATATACACTTTCATAAAATCACACGTTATAATTTTGAACATTCCACCATCTTTACCTGGCCGAGTGTGATCACTGTTACGTTGCAATTATGGCTTTATTTTTTGGTGATTTGGAAAACGTTTTTTGGTTTGGACATGTTTCTTTTGTTGTAGTACTGAGTTAAACTGATGGCCTTAATCTAAGTTTTTGTGGTTGTTGTTGTTTGACTTGCATCCCACTGGGATTTTTTGCACACAGCGTTGGTGTACGGTGCTTTTTTCAGGAATATTTTTGCTGTTTTTTTTTTTCCCATGGATTTTCCGTTTGCACAATCACATAGTCACTTTAAGATGTTTTTCTTGTTCGTGTTTTTGTTTTTTTTGTTTGTTGTGGTTGCACCCGATTGAAGAGCCGAATGGCTCACAGGGCTATACCAAAATAAACTGAAATAAACTGAAACTGAGTGGCGCCATAGTTAGAGCACTCAACTGACAATTGGAAGGCTGCACGTTCAAGACCCTGCCAGAGCTCGTCTTGGCAGATACCAAGCTATCCATAGTGGTACTCATTTGGAGGGATGATAGGTTAAGTCCCTTCAATTTGTGGGTTGATTGTTGTGCCGCTGATTCACCTCCTCGTATCAATGGGTGATGATAATTATAGATACAAAGATCCCCGCATAGCCTTGACTGACTGTTGGAGCAAATGCTGTTAAGCGAGCACCTATGAAGGCCGTCACGGTACAAGAGGAGGTCGGTGGCCAACTCCACATCCTATTTTTTATTTTAATTTTTATTTTGCCAGGTAAGGCCCACTGAGCTATATAGCTATTTTTCAGAAGTAACCTGGCCACAAATGATAGCTCAACGAAGTGGCCTATCACGTGGACATTTATTGCAGCGAAATACTCTAAACGCATGTTTATAAATGTGGACAGAAAAAACCGTAGGAACCAGAGAAAAATCGACACGACCACGGAGAGACCATGCAAACTCAAAATTGACAGGTGTCAGGGTCTGTATCAAACCCACAGCCTCCTGTACACGAGGTGAAGTAGTTAACATATCGCCACCGTGGCGCCCCACATCCAGCCACCTTTGTCTCCCCAGTGCTGATGTTTACACACCACGTCAGATACTCATTTACGGCTGATTCGACCTAAAGGAGGCCCAGGACCGGTTCAAATATTCACCACCGTTTTCGGTCGTCAGCGGGAATTGAATTTGGGTCACAGGGTTTGCAGCACATTGCGTATTGTGAGGTGAGGTCATAGTCCATTGACTCAAACTAGGAAATAAAAACATGATGACAAAAACAACACGTTCGGAATAGAAGTAACAGCATTTTACCATCCGATAGCGAATAGAGACAATACGTCTGGTTGGTGATAAATAAAAAAAGAAAAGAGATGTATTAATATCTTCCATATGAAAACAAATAGTGCAACACAGGAGCCAAGAGAAAATTCGAGGATAATAGAAAATAACACGAAGTCAAATAATGTAAAACAAAGCAAAACTACGAAACCTGTACTTGTTCTTTGTTTAAAATGTCAGATATAAAAATTCCACGATTATCAGATCGGGCATAATTTGTTTCTCAAATACAATTTCACTTTATTAGCCTCTGTAGTTGTCTGCATTGTCAGTCTCTTATTCGTGTACATTTATGAATACAAAAGGTGATTAATTGATTGAACGAAGTATAACTGAATAAGTTAACGTGATAAATATAGTCCAATTTCATGCCATGAAGATAAAAAGTGCGATGTCTAAGGTGGTTATTTTTAAACCAAATTTGATAGTTCTTTTGAAATGTAAAAAGCAACAGAATGCAGTACAAAGGCTATTGCATACACGCACATCATAAGTAGATACTGTAAATCCACATCTCATTAATGATGAATCTCTCTGAAAAAGCCTTTTATTTTACCCTGACAATAGTGCTGACCATCCGGACCTCCACTTGGCAACTTTCAGTGTTTGACAGAGTTTGTGCAATTTTTATGTGAACTCAAATAAAGAGTAATAGTGCGAATCCCTTTTACAAGCCACTTTTGGATGACGGTTTCCCCACACCACCAGTCATGGCGGCTGTTTTACCATACTTCTTCGTGCTGGTCAGTGTAAATTGGTGAAGGGGAGAGGCGCAGGACTGGTTGAGATATCGCTCGCCAATGCCGTTAACTTTGGCCAGAAATTAAAGTCAAGCCACCAGGTTAAGAGTTCAGTGCACTTACCACTACACCCATCATCAACATGTACAATAAATAGATAGACAGAGATATAAGTCAAAGTACTTCCCTGCTCAACCCAGCATGGGACGGTGGTAATCTTTGTTTGGTGGGCCTGAGTCAGAGGTGGAAATGCCGCATTTCTATGACAAGGACACGTGTGTAGAAGGATCAATGTTGTATTCCCATGGCGATAATTATAACATGATATAACAGTCACAATGACATTATGATAATTATAAGTCATGACTAGAATACTCTTTGGTTCTTTCGGAAAAGCCACGTGGGTATAAAATACAATAAATCCGGTGATGATGGACGCTTGTGTAGCGCCCGAAACGTCGTGATTTATTTTATTTTATACCTACGTGACTTTACCGAAAGAACCAAAGAGTATGGATTCCTGCAGTAACGAAAGCTTCAAATCTAGATATAACTAGAATACTTTACAAACACAAACATATAAAAAAAACACAAAAAAGCGGTGAGGTTTCTTAAATGCGAAGTCAATCGTGTTATCTTCTTTGGTTCTTTCGGTAAAGTCAAGTAGAATGAGAATAAAATAATAAATTGATAAAATAAAATAACACAATAAAATTCTCACGACGTTTCGGCCACAACACAGCGCTGTCCTCCAGACAGTCTCGTCCCTTCACCTGATGAAGGCCGCTTGTGTTGTGGCCGAAACGTCGTGAGAATTTTATTGTGTTATTTTATTTTATCAATTTATTATTTTATTCTCATTCTACGTGACTTTACCGAAAGAACCAAAGAAGATGAATCCTTGCAGTCACGAAAGCTTTAAATCGAAATTCAATCGTGTTAAATAGGCAAAACGTGTATGTAATAATCATCAGCAAATCATGTATCCACTGCTGGATGAAAGCCTCCCAAAAAATGTCGCCATCCCTTATGGTTTCATAGTAAAAAGATCCATCTGGCTCGTCATCTATTCACTACATCTCCATGGTAGTTGTCCTCTCACGCCTGTTCACTCGTTTGGATGCCACTCCGCCAAAAGTGTTGCCCTTTAGTTAGCATCCTCTTTAGAGATGTGTTCTGCCCATGCCCTCTGACTTTTATTAGCAGTCAATGTGTTGTCTTTATTGTGAGTTTCTTCTCGAATGCATCTGCTCTTCTCTAATTCGAAGCAAGCTTCTTTTCAAACCTTTTGTTATTTTCTTTTAACCTATCGACGTGACTTTACCGAAAGACCCAAATAATATTTTAGCTTTAGGTTAATACATTTGTGATGTCCATGTTCCTGATCCACATGTCATGTAGTAGGTAATATATAGGTACTAAAAACTTAATGACTCACAAAAACATGCTGATCTTTTTAAAATTTACTTTTAACCATGCCAACCAGTCGATACTCTTAATGTGACCTTAATTTAAGTTAACCGGAGCTCTCGTACCAAATCAGGACATGACATTCGTACAGCAATTGTGTTGTGGGCTGTGTTATATAACAGAATAGTATATATTTTGTAGTGTATAGCCATTCAATACAAGAATACTTGTAAGTGTATTTAAACAAGTTTAAACATCTCTCATATATTCAGAGCAATAAAACGTTGTAGACACAGCACCTATCTTA